GCCAGGTTCTTCTTGAGCTCCTCTGGAATGGGCGGGTCACTGCTTTGTGGCAGCTCTTATTTATTCTGCTTCTGGGCAGCTCTGGTGCTCATTTCCATTCTCTTCAGTTCACCAAATGTTGACTCAGTAGCTGTAGGGGGCCAGGACTTACTAGGAGCTGGTGGGTACAGAGATGAGTACACATGAAGAGCACATGTTAGAGAAGAAGAAAGATACACAATCAGACCATTTCCCAGCCAGATGGAGAGCAAGGAGAGAGGCTTTGTAAAGCTGTTGCTGATGGAATTTTTTCTTGTAATGGGCCATTGCCTACTTTGTGTGTGTGTGTGTGTGTGTGTGTGTGTGTGTGTGTGTGTGTTGTCCTCTCTTCTACTCATAAGGTCTTTGAATAAGTTAAGGTAGCTATGACTTTTTTTCTAAGTCCTCTCATCTCCAAGGTAACTTTTGTCCATCTCACATGAGCTTCCAGAATCCTATTCTCATCAACTGATCTCTAAATACATTGCAGTTGGTAAAAATGTCTCTTAAACTTCTACTGTCCTATAGTAAACATATTATAGCTCTGTTCTGACCAGCTTGAATGATTCAGTTATTAGAATTGTAGCCTCCCATTATTGGACCACTTTACTTCTATTAACACAACCAAAAACTATAGGTGCCTTTTAGTAGCTCCATCACTTAGTGGCCAGGACATCCTTGAGATCAGCTCCAACTCTGAGTCTATGTTCACAAAACTCTAGTCAAGCCAGATGATCCTCACTTTGTACTCATGCCATCAAATCCTTGAACTAAAAAGGATACATATCTTCTGTTGTCACCCCTAGGACGTTTTGCAAGGGGACTTACCATGCCAGAGATTCTGGTGCACTGCCCTATGGAGGCGTGTCAGGACAGGGTCTAGCAGAGAGTCGCTGTGCGAGGAGGGCTGCCTTCATTAGTGACAAGGCTGAGAAATGCCGGGCCACAGTGTCTCCTGAAGACAGCTCAATAATCTGGCAGGCTTTGCCCCTTGTGAACCCATGTTGGGTCCTGGCAACCAGCATTCTTTTCCAAGGGCTTACAGCCATCTGTCGAGAAATCCTTTCTAGAACTTGGCAGCAATTCATGCCCAGCCTAGCATCCTATGCTTTATGGGATCTATTCTTGGAAAAGCTGAATATCCACCCTGTTCCTGTCTTAGGCACTTCTTTTTCTGTCCATGCTGCCACTCCGAGGGGCTTAGGGACCTCATCTGGTTCCTACAGTCCTGGCTGTGACCCTCAGAGCCTGGGGACCAGAACTCAACTTCCGTGACAGTGTATACTGCCTGTCTGTTGGGCTTTGGGTCCCTCTCTGTAGGATTGGTCCTGCCTTCCCAGCTTGCCTGGATTGAAATTCGATCTCTGCTACTTACCCGCTATGACACCTTGGGCAAGCTGCTTATATGGAAAGTAGAATAATTGTAGCTCTTCCCTCTGGGATTTTGTGAGAACTAAGTGAGTCAGTACACAGCAAGCCCTAGAAGGGTGCCTGGCCCAAGTAGCCTCTCGATGCTAAATTGTATAATTCTTGCTGTTCACTGGGGAGGGCGGAGCAAAGTAGAAAGTGGGGTTTTGCTTGCTGGCCCTTGTCTAGTCTCATGGAACTCTCTTTCCCAACCAGCAGACTGTCGTTTTTACTTGCCCCTCTGAACATGGATTAACCAGCCGCTAGCGCCTGCTGTACAGGGTGTGCTACTCTTTCACAGTCACTTTCTGGGGTTGGCCTTTCTTCCGTGCTTTTGTACCTTTCTTGTTAAACCATGAGCGTACCTGAGAGCCCCTGTACCACCGCTAGTCTTTTCTTTCTTGTAGGAACAATACATTTTCCACAAATCCTCAGTTTCTTTGAGTCTCCTGTTTGTCTCAAGGCCACTTTGCTGTTGAGGACTGAGCAGCACGGTTGACTCTGGGCTGACGCCAGAAGCCTGGGTCCAGATCAACCCTGCCTCTTTCTGGTGTGTGACTTCAGGAGGGCTTTTTAGACCTCTCGGTTTTGTATGCTTGGTACATCCAGGAGAATTCAATGCAATACTGCCTGTAAATCTACATATCAAACAGAGGAAGCTGTCAACAGTGTTGACCAGCAATTGCCATTACTATTATCTGGCCACAGATTCACCCTGACCTTTTTTTCTCTAACATTTTGGAAGTCTGTCCTCTTCAAGATTGAACTGTGTATCTAACTCTCTTCTTCCATTTCCTTTCCCAGGATGGCAGACAAGACAATGGTCTTACTCTCACTATTACTATTACTACAACTACTAGTAACAATAATAATAATAATGATAACTTTTATTCCTTGCACACTTACTATGTGCCCACACTGTTTGGAGAGCTTTCCATGCGGTATCTCTTCCAGTACTCATGACTACCCTAAGGGGAAATCAGCATTTTTTTCCTGCATTTTTTTTTAATTCCAAGATTTCTGATTTTATTTATAAATATTTAGAAGTATATTTATAAATAGAAATAAAATTCCATTTTATTTATAAATAGAAATAAAATTCCATGGAATAAAAGCAGTTTGAATTCCTGTCTTGAGTCACTTGAGGAGCACAGTTCCATCCTCACCCATGCCCCTCCCAGGGTTTCTGAGACCCCCAGGGAGGGGCGCCTTTGACAGCCCCCTGTGCTGCGCCCAGATGTCCACATCTCTCCTCTGGCACAAACTTCATTTCCCCTCACCCAATGCCTGTGCTAACCTCAGAGCCTGGAGCTTTTCTCCTTCACATTTTTTATCTAAGTCAAGGCCATATAATAAATTCAGAAGTGAAGAAATACACTTATTTTCAAAAGGTCAACCTCACAAGTAAAGAAATGTAAATTAAAACAAGTTTTATTTCTTGCCTATAAAACTGACAAGGACATATGTAATTATATATAAAGTAATTAGCAAAGGAATGGTCAAAATAGGCACTGTCACCTTCCACTGGTAGGAGGTAGAATAAACACTGAGAAGCAATGTATAAAGATTCCAATTTACTCATTAAGCCAGTAATTCAACCCTTAGAAAAATATGCTGAGGAAATCGCTGAAGTTGCACAAATATATTTGCACACAAAGCTATCCATCACTGCATTATTTTTAGTATTGAAAAATGGGTAACAACCTAAATGGCCAACAATAGAAGATTGGTTAAATAAGTTACGGTACAGCCAAATGACAGCTATTATACTACCAAGGGAGCTAAGCAAGCTCAAATGTTGAGTAGAAAGAATTAATAAACAAAAGTCCAAACTAGATTGTTCACAAATATTGTTTTGAACTGAAATAACACTGAGAGGCTAAATGACTCTGGTTAACTTTGGGTGGTGGGATCATGCCACCCAATTATTTATTTTTAATTTTCCTCTTTATCATTTCTCTATTTCCCCAATTTTCTACAAAGGCTATTACTTTTATAATTTGAGACATATATGCATATTTAAGTTGAATTACATATCTACATATCTCTATGTGTGTATATACATTTATTTTAGTTAGGTTCTAAAGCTGCTTTTTCTACACCCTGAGAAATGAAGTTGCTCTCCAGACAAGCCGAGTGTATGCCAGGTAAGGGAACCTGACTCCCCCAGTTTCCATGATGCACTACCCCAGTCTCATGGACACCACTGGTAAATAAATGCCATCCTCACATGCTCTTCTCCCTCACACCCTCCCATCTAGACTCATCAGCTCAGGTCAGAGCTGGAGGAAACCTCAGTGCTGGATCAAGGAAGGTTCTCGGCCCCTCTTGCCCCTCAGACTCTTTGGCTGTCTGGCTATGGATCCCACCTCAAAAATAAACACATACAATAAAACACACAGGATTTCAGAAGAAACCATGCATCCCTTGAGCAGTGACATTCAATGGCTTGGCCCTCATATTTACTATGAACTGAGGCTGTCCTGAGAAGGGAACTCTTCTTGGTCAGCCCCTGGCCTCTGGCCCTACCACTCTCTGAGCTCCTCCCTGCCTCTGAATGCTGTAGGTAGATGTCCTATTGTATGACATTCTATTGCAGCTCTCTAGTCCCAACCCACCTTTCTGCCAAATCTTGGAAATGATCTCTTGATACAGCACATTTACAGGGCCAACCTCACTCCATTTCCAGATAAGGAGAGGTCAGGGAACCAGAGGTCAGTACAGGTGGGCGAGATGACCCCACCTGTGATATCCAAGGGACTCTCATGACCTGCTCTAGCTAATCAGACTTCCTCCAGGACTTCGGTGGCACCAACTAAGAAAGGGACACAGGGACACTCTTCTCCCTCTAGGGCTGTTTGGAGGAAAGAGGCTGCCTGGGTGCAGCCAAACCAAAAAAAAATGAAACTTAGGGAGGGTAAGAAACTCTGAGAATACAGGATGCCTGTGGGGGCCTCTGATCTAGCTGAGTCTGAAGCACGTTCAATCTTTTCAACTTCATGAGCCAACACACTACCTTTTCCTTTTTCTTTCCTCTTTTCTCAGCCAGTTTAAGTTGAGTTCAGTTTTACCAGCAACCAAGCGTCCGGACTAAGTCAAGTATGGATTATCCCCATTGTACACCTGAGGAAAACTGAGGCAGGCCAAGAGAATTAAATGACTAGCAAGTGGCAGAGTCGTGCTCTGAATTCTACTCTTCTTGACCTCAGAGCCTTAACTATGACTGCCTGCGAGTCCAGGTGAAGACCAGGTTCACTACTCCGTGGACCAGTCAGATCCTTCAGCCAAGAGGTCTTGTGAATCCTCCCTCTGGGCTCACCACAGAGGGTTCCGAGGCTCGCAGCCACCTGGCCATCTACACGGCCGCGCCCCTGGGAGGCCTGGGCCTCCTTCACACACACCTCTCCGCGCTGCCCGCGCGGGGCCCTTTCTTCTTAAACTGGTAGTTGACCCTCCTTCTGCCTCCTCTTACCGGCGCAAATCCCCCAGGCAGCTCGGAGGCAGGGGCGTTGGTGGGAACGGCTCACACCCGCCCCCTGAGCCCCGCCTTCCCCAGCCCCGCCTCCCCGGCTCACCTGTAAATCAGCACCTCATCTTCCGAGCAGTTGTACTGCAGCTGGTACATCTTCACCCGGGGCGCTGACTTGCTGACCGACCACTTGACCAGGGCTGAGGTGGTGGTCACATCAGACACAAGCACCGCCCGGTCCGGAGGGCTTTTGGGCGGCTCCCCGCCCCCGCTGCCTCCGCCTCCGCGGCTGGCCTTGCTGGAGCCCGTGATGTCCGAGAGGCGGGACTTGGGGGGCGCAGCACGGCTGGTGCTGTTGCTGAGGTGAGGCAGCTGGACGATGGAGACCTCCACCGTGGCTGTGGCCTCCCCCGCGGCGTTGGCAGCGATGCATGTGAAGGCACCACTGTCCTGCGAGGTGGTGATGAGGATGTCCAGGGTGCCGTTGTCATACACGGCGGTCCTTGAGGAGTTCCCCACCAGGCGGTCATCAGGGGCCACCCAGTGGATGAGGGGGCTAGGGTCCCCGATGGCCTTGCACTTGAGAGCGGCCGCCTGGCCCTCCAGAACCAGAAGCTTGTGCGTGTGCTGGGTGATGAGAGGAGGCTCGCACACAAACTCCTCCTTGCGCACATGCCAGAAGTAGCGGCCCTTGAGGCCCCCCGGGGAGCCACAGGTCTCCAGGTCATCTTCCCTCTCAAGCCTCCGCAGCCAGAGAAGCTCGCAATTGCAGTGCAGCGGGTTCCCCCCAAAACTAAAGGACAAGGGTGGAGCAAAGGGTGTGGCAGGCAGAGCAGAGGCCTGGGAGCGTGCAAAGATGGGGTCTGGGGGCAGCTTCTGCAGCCGGTTGGAGGTGAGGTCAAGGCGAGCCAGTTTCTGCAGGTCAGCAAAGGTGCCCTCGGCAATGTGGTCCAGCAAGTTGTGGTCCAGGCTCAGCTGGTGGAGGTTGACCATGCGCCGCACGGAGTCCCAGGGCAGGCCGTGCAGGTTGTTGTAGGAGAGGTCCAGGTCCTCCAGCGTCAGCAGGAAGTCCTCGAAGGCCTCGTCGGCAATGCCACCCAGCTGGTTGTTGTTTACGATGAGGTGCTGCAGGTTGACCAGGCCCCGCAGGGTGTCTTCCCCGAGGCTGGGCAGCCGGTTGCTGTCGAGGTGCAGGGAGCGGAGGCTCTCGAGGTCCAGGAAGGAGAAGGGCTGGATCTGGCTGATGGTGTTCCTGGACAGGGTCAGGTCCACCAGCCCTGTCATGTTGGCGAAGTCCTGGCGGCCAATGTGGATGATGAAGTTGCCACCCAGACGCAGCTCCACTGTCCGCCGGTCAATGTCAGGGGGCACGAAGAGCAGCCCCTTGGAGGGGCACAGGGTCCCCAATGACTCAGACAGGTTCTGGCAGACACAGTACTTGGGGCAGGCGTCAACCACAGCAAACGCCATGCCAAACGCCAGCAGGCCACCAAGCAGAGTCTCCATGGTCTGGTCATTCAGGCTGCAGTGCCTGGAAGGGAGGGACACAAGGTCAGGGTCAGGACATGGCATCCTAATGCTCTCACAGGATCAGATAAAGGTCTGTTCCCCAAGGTCTAATCTCTTCTACCAAGCCCTCTAATATCATTCTAGTTTTCCTTTTTCCTTAGCTCTATCACCTTCTAACAGACAATTTCATTTTCTTGTGAATTATGTGTATGGACTATTTCCCACCTCCCTCACTAAAAGGTCAGCTCTACAGAGCAGGTCCTTTTCTCTGTTTTGTTAAGTGCTATACCCTGCCTATCTAGTAACAGTGCCTGGAACACAGTAGGTGCTCAATAAATATTTGTCGGCTGGCCAGATGGGTAATTCCATACCAGGGGTTCATCTAATAATTATTGGATTTGAACAGTGTGTTACAGCTGTATTTTGAAGCAGTTCCTTCTTAATCAGTTTAGGCTCGGCATGAAATAAAATTGGACCAGCATTCTGGAAGAACAAGGACGTAGACAAGGAGAGCTCTGGCCCTGGGGGACGCCAGGATTACTGAGAACTGAGTTGGCATAAATTCTTCACAGTGGTAAACACACAGTGGATGGATCTTATGGAGTTCGGGGAAGTGAAGAGGGGGTGGAATGTGAAACAAAAGGATGAGCTTCTTCTGAGCACCAAGTATATGAAAATCCTCTGTCCAGACCTTCAGTCTGGACATCTCACTTGGGCGTCAGGAACACTCTTCACAAGGAAGGACTTATCTCCACATACAGATGAGGACTTGTCCACAGCCTAATAGTGTGGGGGCTTTACGCAAAAGTCACCTTCTCACCAAGGCCCCACCCCACATGTACACACCCCTCTTCCCTGCCTTGTGTTTTCTCCTTGGAATTGATCACAATCGAAACTGCTATATATTTTTACCTACTTGTCTTCTTCGCTGTTTGTCTTCTGCACTGGCAACAGAGCCCCAAGAGGCAAGGAGTTAGCTTTACCTGCTACTATATTCTCAAGGACCAAAGTACTGCCTGGCACATAATAGGTGCTCTTGTGTGAATGAGTACTAAGGAAAGAAGGAACAGCACTTGGGCTCAGGTCTTTATGCCTCTGAATCTTAACGGTTTTCTTACTCTTCCAAGTTGTACTAACCATAACTCTATGTACTACAAAAAACATCAGTTGAGTTGGGCTTTTGGAAAATCATGCACACTGGTTGTGCAGCATCGTGAAGACCAGCAGCTCTCAAACTGCCTTCTAGGAGTGCTGATTAGGATTCTGCAAGAAAGGCTTCCAAGGCTGATGACGTGGGGAAGAGCTGTCCACTCTCCTTCACTCTTAACAAAAAGCTGTACATGCATTGGCAAGTTAGAAGGGTGGAGAAATTCCTCTGCAGTAAGAGGCTGGATTAATGATTAATTCTGCATTGCTGCCCACCTTGTTAGCTAAAGATATTTCTCTTTTTGAAAAAGACTATTAATACCTTGAGGAAGTAGAGCTCCACAGCTCCCAGTGGGAGGAGCACAGATGCAGACAAAACAACCAGCTAAGAAAAAAAGTCAATTTAAAAACCTATTCCGATCAGATATTATTGTAAAGATTTCAATTCCATTATTGTTTCTCTTTAAGGGTAAATCTCCCAACTAAGACCCTCCAGGGCCAGAGACTTGCGCAACATTTCATCTGGAGAGAGTGTCATTCCTGATCACACTCTCCTGCAGAAATCTAATACTAGCCCTAAAGGTCATTTTACATTTTCTGGTGGCTATAATGAAAAAGAAGTAAAAAGAAACTGGTGAAATACATTTTGAAATAAATATATTTTTCTTAAGCCACTGTATCCATAATACTATTTCTACATGTAATCAGTACAACTATTAATGAGATATTCTAAGTCTTCAAAGTTGGAGGTGTACTTAACACTTAGAGCACATTTCAAATGCTCACTGGCCACAGGTAGCTTCTGGCTACCATACTGAAAAATGCTACTGGAGCAGGTGCTGGCTATCTACAGCCCAAGGCCAAACCCTCTCTGCCCCCTGGTTTTGTATATAAAGTTTTATTAGAACATGGTCATACTCATTTGATTGCCTATAGTTTCATGGCTTTTTTTCATGTTGCAACAGCAGAGGTGAGGAGTTGTAGCAGGCATAATGTAGCTAGTGAAGCCTGAATTAGTCATTGTTTTACCCTTTACAAAAAGTTAAAAAGTTTGCTGACCTGTGTTTAGAGGAATTTTTTTTCCCTTTTCATTGTCTTCATAATGATCACCCTCATTAAAAGACGTCACCAATGTGTCTAATTCACACAGTTGTGCTCTGGGCTCTCACAAGCAACTGCCTGCCCTGAGCTCCTCCTGGAGAGGTACCAGCCCAGCCTGACCAAGGTCCCACCAGGTACATCCATCCCGGAGGCGTCTATGTGCAGAAGCTTTCCACCTGCCACCTTCTCTATGTCAGATGTGTTCCATATGAAGCTGGGACCTGATGAAACAAATGGGAATCTTCTCCATCTGCACTGACTCTCTTCTTATTTTTCAGCACAAGGACGAGCCTTGGCAGAGCTGCTCCTGGCCACTACCCCAGTTTATCTCTCACCTCTCTTTTCCCTTGCTCTTCATGTCCCAGCTATATTCAACCTCTCTCTCTCTTATAAATACTAAGCTTGATCTTCCTCCAGGACTTCTGATGTGCTGTGGTCTCTTCCAGGCTTCTCCCATACCTCCACTCTTGCCTGGCCAAGCTCCTATTCTACCTCTATTCCTCCTCCAGGAAGGCTCTCCAAAACCTAGACCAAATTTGGCCCTTCTGCTATTTGCCCCTCAGCACCCTGTACTTGTCCTATATTTCACTCATCACACCTTTACTTATAATCCCTTGACTGTTTACCTATCTGCCTTCCTAGAGTGTAAACTCCAAAAGGCAGGGAACTAAACTACCCTGTCCACAAATCACCGTATCCCCAGCACCCAGTACCACACCCAGCTCACAGCAACGGTGCAGTAAATAGCAACTGAATGAGTGAATGAATGAATGAAATGTGGTGCTAGGCAGAGTGAGTTTCTGGCATTGTCACTGAGGTTCTGAATTCTATATCAATAGTGTCCAGGGTTATTTAGAAAATTAGGTGAGCAAACCAGAAAAGCTGGAGTGGCCTGGTTACACCAGAAGTTTCAGAAGCATCTTCTGCCGACCGTGAGCTGCACTGTCCAGCATGACTCACATGGTTATACAGTCAGAGAAGTCATATTTCTCTGGCCACTGTCTGCTCAGATAGAGGTGAATGGTACCCCCTATACCTACCGGGGACACAGGACAACCACACTCAAGGATGTTCACTACTAGTGAAGCTGGAGGTGACTGTGTATATGCATATGTGCATGCGTGTGCATGTGTGTGTGTAGTGGGGGCTTGTGTTCTGAAAGCTCATGGCCCCATGAAAAAACCATCCTTCTAAGTTCTTGCCAGTACGAGCTGCGGTGCTCTGAGGCTAAGCTGCACGTGCTGCCGTTTTCACAGCATAGCATCTGAGTCCAGGGCCAGGGTTGTTGGGGCCTGTCCTGGGTACCTTCTGCTCATCCCTCCAGGTCCTCTCTCCACGCTCTCTGACCCTGTTCTGTGTCCTGGAAGCCTGACAATATGGATGCATCAGTGCAGTAGAGACGGATCGCCCCATCCCATGGTGTCCTCTGGCCTTCCCAGCCATGGCTCCGTTGCCTGCCGTCTGGTACACAGTGGCAGTGACTGCAAACAGGGAAGGCCCAGACACTTTGGGATGTATACCCTGCACAGCGCTTGTTGTTGCGATGTTGTTGTAAATTATGCCAAACAAACCACATTAAAAAAAAAAAAAGTTTGTTGAGGATTAACAAATGTCTAATGAATTCAAATCTGTGACATAATAGAGCTGGGTAAATATATTTTAAGTAATCAGCATGGAAGATTACTGACAGAGAAGTGACTATTGAATCTTAATTAAAATTGTATTCTGAGAACCATCATTATATTACTCTCACTGCCAAACAAAAAGCTTAAACCCCAGGTTGGGAGGGAGGAGAGGGGACTGGTAGATACCTGTAATTAGCACTCACTGGAACATGCGGTGGGGTCTCCTTTTTGAGCAGTGATTTGAGCTGGAAGGAGCAACCTAGGCCCCAGAATGGTATAGGTGGTGGAGGGGAGCAAGGAAAGAGGAGAGGGAGCAGAGGGCTGGAATCAGGAACAAAGAAGCAGATAAAAGTGGGCAGGAGGGGCTTTGGGATTATTTGTGGGCAAAGCTGGGAGAGGTGCGTGTGTGCGTGAAGATCAGAAGCGAGGCTGTGAAATGGATGCTGGTATCAAATGTCAGGATCAACCTTCATAGGAGAAATCCATCTGCAGAGGAGCAAGCAATGGCTCACAGACATTCTGTCTGCTCAGAATGTCTATGAGCCAGAGAGTGGGGGGAGAGGGGGAGTGGCAGGCGGGGGGCTTTGCCTGGAGAGGCAGTCAGAGGAACTGGGAGGGGAAGAGGAGCCTCTCCCTGGACCTGCAGTGCCCGAGAGTCAGCGCATCTCTGTGGAGGCACAGTGTCCCTTCCCTCCCCTGGTTTCTCCACGAGGTCACAGCTTTGCACGGTAAGTGCCGCCACTCGTCCCATAAGATGCTCCACTGCAATTAGAAAGAGGGCCCCACAGGGCCTTTGTAGGACCCTTTAGCTGAACAACCTTGCACAGTAAGCAACCTGCCCTGCCATATCTTGAGGACCTGAGTATTGCCTATCCCCACGCTAACCACTGGGAAGTGAGGTTCAAAGAGGTTTGGGCCCTCCCAAACTCCCCCAGCTCCCCCAAGAAGAACCACAATGTGAACTGAGGACTGTCTGGCTCCAGGCTGTCTTCGGAATAGAGGAGGCCCCTCTGGAGGCTTTCGTGTGCCTAATGTACACGGAAAAGCTGGCTGCCTCCACCATGGGATTGCTTAGTAACCTGGGACAGCCCAACTGTTGGACTAAATTTGGGTACTTGTACTTCCTGCTTGGGGAGGGGCCTGGAAGGAG